CCACAGGTTTATTATTAGTTTAAAAAGAACCACTTATTTTGATGTGGTGTAAATCTCTTTCCCTTACTGGTTGTGTAGCCTCAGGTTTCAAACGTCGGCTTCTTTATCTTGTGCAACCGCTTTTGGAGGAATCGCGCGTTTAAGAAGTGTCGTGCGGAGTATGAGGTCTCATTCTGAAGTCGCAAAAATCAATATGCTCATATGTAGTTATGATGTATATTCAATGTTGCTGGAAATGCGACAATTTCGTCATTACATATTATAGCTTATCGATTGGTTGCCAGGTAGTCTACTACGGTATCACTTTTAACGTTGTGACATCGTCTTTGATACGAAAATGATGGCTTTTCGAAGTTCTTGTAACACATGTTACGGCGCTCGGCAGGACATGGATGAGCAGTTATTATAATTGAGCATTGGTATACCAACTGAGTATTGATTATAAGTGGTAGGAAGTTCTTCATAGCGCTGACTACTTGAAAACATTTCTTTATGTGCACGGTCTATTCGAGTTCAGATACTTTCTTCGATTTTCAATTAAGAATTCTTCACCGATATGTTTATCACTGTTTGCAACACGCGAGTATTCTAACAACAGCACTGTTTTATTTGTACTTGTACCAATTTTATCTACCTAAATCTGTATAATTATTCTTGAAGTGGTGTCGAAAGAATTCAGTGAAATGGTAGCAAATGTGTTATTTAGGTACGAATTATGTACTGAAATATTAACACAGTGTCTGAAGTGTGTGGTTTTATATTTCTATTCGTCAGAGCAGTCTAATATATCCAGCATTACATGTAAATTATCTATCATATCATTTGTATACTTGGTAAAACTTTATATAACACACAGTGGATGTATGAACGATTACATTCGACAGATAGTGCTGATTTAATTTTTCACTGACATCATCATTGTAATATAGGACATGCACGTTTTGAAGGTCTGGAAATTAAAATATTCGTAAGTTGTGGATAATACATACACGTATATACAGGATGTTCGGCTGTAAGCGTAAAAAGATTTAAGGGATGATTCCTGAAGCTAAAATAAGATGAAAATCAAAATTAAAAAGATTTCGTTTTCTGATTTGTTTTTCGGTCATTGTCAATTAAAAATTGCCCGAAATATCCCCGTGCTCGAGCAAGCCTCCTTACATGAACGAAAGATATTTAGATCAGCCTAAGCAATGGAGTGCACAAGATCCTCAAATCGAACGATACGTGGGCAGCAGCTTCCTTCGCACAAATGTAGAGAAAAAAGAAAAAGAAAAGCTGTAGAGAAGAAAATAATGACAATCAAAGTTGCAAATTATCCTGCACAACGTCTTCTAGGAAATATCGGCCAACCACGGACAGGGCCTTGGTTGTAGGGGTGTGAAATTTGTATAAATATTGTTTATGTGCGTCATTATTTATCATTTATTTATGCAGACAGAAAGCTAGAGGAAACATTAATCCTCTCTATTTGAAAATTCCACGAGGCAATTTTCGATATGCTGTTATGTACTTTAATAAGTAGACAAGTATAATGTGTAATCTACGATTTTTCTTAGAAAACATTGCGCAGGATCATTTAGGTTGTCGAAAGTTATTATCTTCTTCTCTACGGCTTGTGCGATAGAAGCTGCTGCCCATGTACCGTTCCATTTGAAGATCACTGTGTACCCCGCTGTTTAGGTTGATCTAATTTCGTTCCTGTAAGGGTTCTTGCTTGCATACAGGGATATTTCAACCAATCTTTAATTGGCAATAATCAACAAACAAATCAGAAAATGCAAATTTTTTATTCTTGATTTTCATTTTATTTTAGCTTGAAGAATCACCCCTTAAATTCTTTTATACCTATAGCTAAACACTCTGTATAGTAGTATGCAGTAGTTTATAGTAGTGAAATTATATTTGAAAGAATTTTATCTGATATTGAATATAAAGGCATAACAGGTAGGAAAAGACAGTATAACAAATGATACTTGCTTTATGGTCATGCCATACTATGTACTTCGAAAGGCTCTTTAAAATATCGTATTTGCGATATATAATGAAAAATCAGAAATTTTTATACACTATTGTACGTACTTATAACATTGTTAAATTTATACATACTATTCCGAAGTTTTCTATATTCATTTCGTACAATCC